CGGATGCCAGCTCAGTGAAAGATTTTAATGCGTTTTGTATGCAGACAGGACACGAACTTTTGCACCTTGACACCACCCCAACCACCTTCACTTTTTATATTAAAAAACGTAATAATAATTAAAACATTTTCTACTTATAAAACGCCGAGAGATTTTTGATGCTCTGTAAGCCTCATGGATACTGGCTCACAGAGGTGGTGAAATGATTTGATGTAAAAAAGGCACTAAAAAGTGCCTTTTTTATTGCCACTTTTTTGTTATTATTTTTACTTTAATTTCGCCAACTGCGCGTTTAGTTTTTCTAAATTGGCACTAAATTCCGCCACGCGTGCTTTTTCTTGCTCCACTACCGCTGCTGGGGCGCGTGCTACAAAGCTTTCGTTATTCAGCTTACCATTAGCTTTGGCGATTTCACCTTGCAGGCGGGCAATTTCTTTACCCAAACGCTCTTTCTCGGCGGCCACATCAATTTCCACCTTAAGCATCAGTTTAAAGTCCCCTGCCAACATCACAGGTGCATCGGCTTCTGGCAGTTCAGCGACAATCGCCACATCTTCCAATTTAGCTAACGATTTTAAATATGGCGCATAGGCGAAAAGTTGCTCCGCATTGCCTGAGGCAATGAGCGGCACTTTCTCGGCTGGCGAGATGCCCATTTCACCACGCAAACTACGGCAAGCTTCAACAGCAGTTTTTAATGTTGCCACCCAAGCTTCGGCTTGCTCATCTATTTTTTCCAAATCAGCGCTTGGGTAAGCCTGCAACATAATGCTCTCCGTACCGCGCGATTTGTCTTTCAGTTCCGTCATCGGCGCAATGGTTTGCCAGATTTCTTCGGTAATAAACGGAATAATCGGATGCGCTAAGCGTAAAATGGTTTCCAACACACGCAACAAGGTACGACGTGTAGCGCGTTGCTCCGCTTCAGTGCCATTTTGAATTTGCACTTTGGCAATTTCTAAGTACCAATCGCAATATTGATCCCACACAAACTCATAAATCGCTTTTGCCGCAAGGTCAAAACGGTAATCTTCAAACGCACGCTCGACTTCTGCTTCTGTACGTTGTAGCAAACTCACAATCCAACGGTCCGCTGGCGAGAATTTTCGCCCACCTGCATCACAACTTTCTACGCCAAAGCCATTGTCTTGGCCTTCCGTGTTCATCAACACAAAACGGGTGGCGTTCCATAACTTGTTGCAGAAGTTGCGGTAACCATCGCAACGTTGCAAATCAAATTTAATATCGCGGCCGGGTGAGGCTAAGGCGGCGAAAGTAAAGCGCAAGGCATCCGTGCCATAAGCAGCAATGCCTTCGGGGAATTCTTTACGTGTGCGTTTCTCGATTTTTTCCGCATCTTTCGGGTTCATCAGCCCAGTGGTGCGTTTCGCAATCAGCGCATTTAAATCAATGCCATCAATCAAATCAATTGGGTCAAGCACGTTGCCCTTAGATTTCGACATTTTTTGGCCTTCGGCATCACGTATCAAGCCATGGACATACACATGCTTGAACGGAATTTTGCCTGTGATGTGCTTTGTCATCATGACCATACGCGCCACCCAGAAGAAAATAATGTCAAAGCCAGTCACCAGCACAGAAGAAGGCAAGAACTGTTGCAAAGCTTGGTTTTGCGCATCAATCGCCTCGTCGCCAGTCCAGTCGAGTGTTGAAAACGGCCATAAAGCGGAGGAATACCAAGTGTCCAAAACGTCATCATCGCGTTTTAAATTGCCCGTGTAACCCGCGTTTGCTGCCATTTTTTTAGCTTCCGCTTCGTCGTGCGCAACAAACACCTCACCGTTTTCACCATACCAAGCAGGGATTTGATGCCCCCACCACAGTTGGCGTGAAATACACCAATCTTGAATATTATTCAGCCATTGGTTATAGGTGTTGACCCAGTTTTCTGGGTAAAACTTAATTTGTCCATCGGCGACCACTTCAAGGGCTTTTTCGGTAATGCTTTTACCATTCGCAGAAGGCTTGCTCATTGCCACAAACCATTGGTCGGTGAGCATCGGCTCAATTACCACGCCAGTACGGTCACCGCGTGGCACTTTGAGTTTGTGTTTTTCGGTTTTAACTAAATAGCCTTGAGCTTCGAGGTCAGCGACGATTTGTTTGCGCGCATCGAAACGGTCAATACCTATATAAGCCAAAGGTAACGCTATCGGCTCTCCAACAAATGTTTCACCATATATTCCATTATGGCGACTGTCATCATCAAGAGTCATGCCATTAAATGACCCATCAGCATCAATAGAAAGAAATAATGTTGAGCCTGGTGTTGCTAAAGCTTGTGCTTTACTTTTAACCTTGCCATCAAGTTCAAAAACAACAATCATTGGAAGTTTTTGACGTTGACCTACCGCATAATCATTAAAGTCATGTGCTGGAGTCACCTTCACCACACCAGTACCAAACTCTTTATCTACATATTCATCTGAAATAATCTGAATTGGGCGATTACACAAAGGTAGTTTTACAAACTTACCAACCAAATGATTAAACCGTTCGTCATCGGGATTAATCATCACCGCCACGTCACCCAGCATGGTTTCAGGGCGCGTTGTTGCTACTGTTAAATGCGTCAATCCTTTAACAGTATCTGGCTCAACCAACGGGTAGTTGATGTGCCACATGGAGCCGTCTTCTTCTTCCTGCACCACTTCCAAATCAGACACCGCCGTGCCTAATTTCACATCCCAGTTCACCAAGCGTTTGCCACGGTAGATCAGGCCTTCGTTATAGAGTCGCACAAAAGTTTCAGTCACGACTTTGTTTAAGCCTGCGTCCATGGTGAAGCGCTCGCGCGACCAATCGGGCGATGTGCCCAAGCGGCGCATTTGCTGCGTAATCGTGCCGCCTGAGTATTCTTTCCATTCCCAGACTTTTTCGAGGAATTTTTCGCGGCCTAAATCGTGACGTGATACGCCTTGCGCATCCAGTTGGCGCTCTACGACAATTTGCGTCGCAATGCCCGCATGGTCGGTGCCTGGTTGCCACAATGTGTTATCGCCTTTCATACGGTGATAACGTGTCAGAGCGTCCATGAGGGTTTGGTTAAAGCCGTGACCCATGTGCAAAGTGCCCGTGACGTTGGGCGGGGGTAATAGAATACAGAAATTGTCTTTAACTTCAGGGTTTAAGCCTGCAGCGTAATAGCCTTTGTTTTCCCAAAATGCATACCATTTGCTTTCTATGATTTTGGGGTCAAAAGATTTAGCCAGTTCTGGGGTTTGTGCGGTATTTGTCATAACCGCTATTTTAACATAGGCTGATAGGGCTATAGCTGATGTGCTTTGCGTTAAAAACTAAAAAATTATTGCTGCTTCAGCCAGAAAAATGCGCCTACTGAAGTGGCTAAAACTGCAAGATGAAAATAACTCCACCAAAGATAACGTTGCCTGAGTTTTTGGGGCGACATATTGGATATTAAAAACAACCGTCTATCTCTCGGTGCGCGAATGATATGCACGCCAGTTTCTTTACGAATTTCGCGATGTTGTTTTTCAATTTCCCGCGTGGCGGCGCGGCGCGCTANTTGAATGACCTTCTCCAGTGTATCTTGCTCATGCTTCATGTATTGCTTGCAAGTGTCAATCAACTTGGGCAATTCGTCATGGCGCTGTTTGAGCAATACATCAATATTGGCCCAAGCTTTTTCTACATTATGTTTAATGTTAACCAAGCCGTTGTAGGTGATGACAAAATAAATTGTAAGCACCGCTAGAATAACTAAAGTAATCATGGCATTTTCCAAAAAAATGATAGGTTTATCGATAGTAATTCTAAGCAAATATAATGCCAAATCCATTCATATGAAACGCTCATTCTAACTTATTGAATTAGTTGATTTATTGTGTTTCAACATGCTGGTTTAATTAACATCAATATAACAATTTTGGTCAGGTGATGCCTAGCAGTGCAACAATCGTACAATATGCAGATTTACACAGTAAAACTATACCGAGAGAAAATTGATGCCCTGCAAGCCGCATGGTTATTGGCTCTCAGAGCATGTGTTTGGATATAGCATAAAAACGTGAAATATTACGCTTAAATTGGGCGCAATAAATGCGGGCTGACTTTTTCCCAATAACGTGAAAAACGTTTTAAGCGTTGCGCGCTAATTTCTACATTCACCAATTTGGGTACAGGCTCATATTTAGGCACAAATGGTTCTAGCAGCTCGCGCACGCGGCGGTTTGGCATTTCTTGCGTAATAATGCGACCAACGCCACGCCTCATGAAAATGTCCACAGTATCGCCCACCCATACTTCAATGTTAGGAATTTCACTTAAGCAATCGGCTATGAACTGCAAGCGATTAAGTGACCAATTGCCGTGGATTAACGGATCAAACACAAATACTTTTGGGATAGGCTTGTCCAATATAGGGTTAGCGGCCGAGAGCATTTCATCATGAACATAAATGGCAATGGCCGAATACTCAGAAAATGGCCTTTTGGGAAAATGCGTCACCACATATTGCTTGGCAACTGGCGAAATGCTGGTATTGAATAATTTAGCGCTCAATGCAGCATCGCTGGCATTAAATGGGCATTCGGCAAAGCAATCAGCGCAATGCGTGTCCATCGTAAAGCGGCTGATGGTTTCTTTGGTGGAAAAATAGGGGCGCGAGCTAAAGGTGGAAGCCACCCATTGCCACGATAAATGATTGCTGGCTAAATCGCCATCCAGCAAATGCGCTTCAAACCAATCGGCCGCTTCGCGCCAATCCATTTTACGATGATGCACAATGTAGCTGGCCAACCACAAGCGCGCGTGATTATGCACATAACCCGTGGTGAGCAAATCTTTAATAAAAGCATCCATACACGGCAAGCCCGTTTTGCCAGCTTTAACGTCTGAACCTAATGGCTCGTGCTGAATCACCGCTTTTGGCGGCTCAATTTCGCTGTAAATATTATCGCCCTCGGCAAACCAAGCTTGGCGAAAATAATCACGCCACGCCAGTTGCATCAATAACTTTTCAGCATTTGGCCCGCCTAGTTTTTTAGCATGCGTATAAACCTCATTTAAAGTGATGCAACCATGGCGCAAATAGGGCGATAAGTGCGTGACCGCGCCTTTTAAAAAATGGCGGGTTCGCGCATACGCGGTAACATCAATACTATTGAGCTTGCTTAAAGCGCCGCGCCGCCCGCCTGCAAACTCGGCAGGCAAATCTGCGCCTTTAGCCGCAGGAAACATGCGCTTAATATAGTGAATGCGCTCTGTTCGGTCTTCTGGAATTCTTAATTTTTGCATGTTGATGCGGCTTATTTCTCTAGCATAGGTTTATTGTAAAATTTAGTTAAATCTTAATGGTTTATGCCATAATAAACAATCACATCACGATAGATTTAAGGAAATATATGGAAACCATGTGGGTTTGGGGGGCAATTGGCCTAATTTTACTGGCGGCGGAGATGGCCACGGGTACTTTTTATGTGCTTTGGTTTGGCATTGCCGCCTTGATTGTTGCGATTCTTGCGTGGTTGATGCCAGAAATAAGCATCAGCATGCAACTGATTTTATTCGCAATTATTTCTATCGGCACGCTATTTATCTGGCGCACTTATTACCGAAAAATTGAAACGCACTCTCGCGTTGGTCAAGCGCAAGGTGAGGAAATTGGCCGAGTTGGTACGATTATTGAAAGTGTAAACGCATCACAAAATGGGCGCATTCAATTTGCACAAGGTGTGATGGGTAGCCGCGAATGGGTAGCTGTTGCCAACGAGTCAATTGAAGTTGGTAGGCAAGCAGTGGTGGTGGCGGTTGAGGGTAATGCTTTGCGGGTAAAACCGCAGTAGTTTTAAGGTTTTTATAATTTTTAATCGCTTTTCTGAAAGGTAAATTTTATGTTTTCATCAATAGCAATACCCTTAGTCATAGTCGCCATTATCCTTGCAATTAAGGGTATTCGTATTGTGCCGCAAGGTGAAGAATGGGTGGTTGAACGCCTTGGTAAATTTGCTGGCGTGCTTAGCCCCGGCTTACACCTGATTAACCCCATTATTACGCGTGTGGCTTATAAAGTCACCACCAAAGACATTATTTTAGACGTGCCAGAGCAAGAGGTGATTACCCGTGACAATGCGGTGATTTTAGCCAATGCCGTAGCATTTATTAAAGTGAGCAATATTGAACGCGCGGTTTACGGCATTGAAAACTTTCGTGAGGCGATGCGTAATATGGTACAAACCAGCTTGCGTTCTATCATCGGTGGTATGGATTTAAACCAAGCGCTCACCTCGCGTGACCGCATTAAAGCTGAACTGAAAACCGCGATTGCTGATGAAGCGCTAGACTGGGGCTTGACGGTAAAATCGGTTGAAATACAAGACATTAAGCCATCCCCCAACATGCAAGATGCGATGGAGCGCCAAGCCGCTGCTGAACGTGAACGCGTGGCCGTGGTGACTGAAGCCGAAGGCGCAAAACAAGCCTTGATTTTAAATGCTGAAGCGCGTTTAGAAGCCAGCCGTAAAGATGCAGAATCACAAATGATTGCCGCAAAGGCCTCAGCGGAATCGATTAAATTTATTACTGATGCAGTACGCGAAAACAATGCATCAGCCATGTTCTTATTGGGTGACCGCTACATTACCGCATTGCAAAAAATGTCCACTTCTGAAAATAGCAAAGTGGTTGTGATGCCAGGTGATTTAGTAGGTGCTGTGAAGAGTTTAGTCGGCGGAAAATAAACCCCTAAATCAGGGGTTAATATCCCACGAGAGATTTTTGATGCCCTGCAAGCCGCATGGATACAGGCTTGTGGAGCATCATCAATGATGTGCGCTAAAATTACCGTATTTTTAGCGCTTTTTTCGCCTTAATTTTTTGATTGAAAATTAGGCACAAACGCTACAACTAGCATCTTTTTTCAGCTTAATTTCGCGCCACTGCATCGCCAACGCATCGAGCAATAATAAGCGCCCTTGCAAGCTTTCGCCAATGCCCATCAAAACTTTAAGAGCTTCAGCAGCTTGGCATGTGCCTATCATGCCCACTAGCGGCGCAAAAACACCATTGGTCGCGCAACGCAAATCTGTTCCTTCACCATTATCGGGAAACAAACAGTGATAACACGGGCTATTTTCGTCGCGCATGTCATACACTGTAATTTGCCCCTCAAACGCTAATGCAGCGCCAGACACCAAGGGCTTTTTGTGCTTAACGCACAAGCTGTTAAGCATGTAGCGCGTGGCAAAATTATCCGAACAATCCAGCACCACATCGGCTTGCAACACAAGCGCAGAAAATTCAGCCTCGGTTGACTTAGCTTGAATAGCTTGCACGGCAACATCAGGATTAATTTCATAAATTGCCTGTTGTGCCGAGATGGCTTTGTTGATACCCACACTTTGCGTGGTGTGAATAATTTGCCGCTGCAAATTGGTTATATCTACTACATCAAAATCGCAAATTGTGAGCGTACCCACACCACTTGCAGCCATATACAGCGCGGCGGGTGAGCCCAAACCACCTGCACCTACAATCAACGCATGACTTTTTGTGAGTTTTTCTTGCCCTTGATAATCAATTTGCGGCAATAATATATGGCGGCTATAACGTAGCAGTTGGTGATCGTTCATTTACGGCAATTTACCTGCGGTAACCATGCGGTTAAACAAACTTGGACGTGTAATCCAGATGCACTTATCATCAAAAGTAGGCGTTAAAACATCGTCCTGATATACAGGACTTGCAGTTTCATAAGTTGCGTTTTCTCCATCCGCAACTCTATTTTTACCTGTAGTGCAAATGACCGCCACCGCTCTTTCACCCACAATTGTTTGGCTAGTGCCGTCTGCTTTTCTTACATCAATGTTTC